TATAGTTCCAGCTACTGGGAAGGCTGAGGCGGAGGGATCGCCGGAGCCCAGCAGGTCGAGGCTGCGGTGGCCAGGAGCGGCCACTGCACTCCAGTCGGGGTGACAGAGTGAGACTCCAACTCAAAAAAAAAAAAAGATCCGTGAGAGTTACTGTCAGAAAGTTACATCTCCATACAAATGCTAACCGATATTTTAAAATAAAAATAAATGTTGAAAAAGTATGTTGGCCTTAGCCACACCCACCTCCTTCCTAAGGGGCAGGCAAGGCTGGCATCGCTGGCCCGGAACGATCCCAAGCCCCCGCAACCCCACTCACCTCTTCAGCCTGCATCAACCTGAACACTTCTCCGAACTGAGAGCTTTCCCCCGTCCCGATCACGACGCCCTGTGTCACAAGAGAGAAGCGTCAACCCTGAGGGCCGGGCGCCCGTGGGGTAGAGGAGCCCGATGGTCACAGGAGCCCGAGGCTCCAGAACCCAGGCCTTACCCGGCCCCTCCCGTACTGCACCAGTGTCCCCATGAAAACAATGTTGCTCAGCGTGGTGAGGTCCCCGGCGCCCTGCAAGGGGCTGTCTGTCTTGCCGCAAGGCTCCGCTTCTCCGGTGAAACTGGATTCATCCACCAGGAGATCTGTGACCTGGGGGAGCAAAGGGCAAAGGTCAGGGAGTCGCCCCTCACGCTCGGGAATCGGTCTCAAAAGCGCAGAACGGTACCCAGCACTTTCGTGGATGTCACACCAGGAACGCGTTGAAATCAGGGAACAAACATGGGAATCGTGACCTCTGATGCCTCCAGGAATCAGAAAAGTCTGGCGTGTGTGGTGGCCCTTGAGAAACAGATAAGGCTCATGCCTTCTTTTAATGTTATTTGAAATGCTAATATAACCTTTAAAAAAAAAAAACCACTAAAGTGATGGTTATTTTAGAATAAACCTTTTTCTTTTTTTGAGTTGGAGTCTCACTCTGGCCCAGGCTGAACTCTGCTCTGCCCAAAGCCTCACTCCTAATTGTCACACCCCACCCCAAAGATGCAATTATTTCCCCCATTTTACATATGGGGAAACCAAGGCACAGAGAGGTTAAGCAACCTGCTCAAGTTTCCAGAACAGAAATTTGAACGGAGGTTCTGGTTTCAGAAACTGCTCTATAACCATCTTGCAAAACTGCCACTGGACCCTGGCTGACGCCCACACACATCATTCTCGAGGGGAGGCCGCCAGGGCCAGAACCCAGCCAGACACTGCTGAGGACACAGAGGGGGCCAGGGTGGGCTCTTTCCCTCGGGACCTTATGATGTAAGCATACAAAACCAAGTTAGGTGGGCACAGTGACTCACACCTATAATCCCAGCACTTTGGGAGGTCGAGGCAGGAGTTGGAGACCAGCCTGGGCCACGTAGCAAGACCTCATCTGTCCAAAAATAAAAATACAAATTAGCCAGGCATGGTGGTGCACACCTGTCGTCCCAGCTACTCGGGAGGCAGAGATGGAAGGATCACCTGAGCCCAGCAGGTGGAGGCTGTGGTGAGCCGTGATCATGCCACTGCGCTCCAGCCTGGGCGACAGAGTGAGACCCTGACTAGAAAAGAAAAAAGAAAAGAAAAGGAAAAGGGAGTGGGCGGAGGAGGGGCAGAGATATGGCGGGGAGAGGTGACAGTAGACACAGGGCTTGGCGTGAGGCGGGGCCACGAGCCAAGGAATGCGCGCAGCCTCCAGAAACTGGAACAGGCAGGGACCAGCCTCCCCCCAGAGCCTCCGGAGGGAGCATGGCCCTGGCACACTCCTGACTTCCACCCAGGGAAATCGATTTGGATGCTGACACCCAGATGGTATGGCCATATGTGTGCGTGGTTTTCAGCCACTGGTCACTTGTCACAGCAGCCACAGGAAGCCGGCACGCCGAGGAAGCCCAGAGGAGAAAGACGGCCAGCCAGAGAGTCAGAGCCGCTAGTTGCCGGGTAGAGGATGAGTTCAAGCCCCCTCCGTCACCTGCTGCAGGCGTCCTGGGGTGGCCGCGGAATTGCTCCAGGCGGCCGTGTCCTTGTTGTAATATGAGGTGACGCAACAGTGGTGTTCTCTCCAGGTTTTGGGGAGACGAAACACGCCATCTTTATACTTATGTTTATTTTTGAGTTGGGGTCTCACTATGTTGCCCAGGCTGGAGTGCAGTGGCACACTCAGATCACGGCTCATCACAGCCTCGACCACCTGGGCTCAGGCAATCCTCCTTTCTCAGCCTCCCAAGTAGCTGGGATTCCAGGTGCACACACAAACACCTGGCTAATTTTTTACTTTTTTGTAGAGATGGGTCTCACTCTATTGCCCAGGCTGGTCTAAGACTCCTGGATTCATGTGATCTTCCCGTCTCGGCCTCAAAGTGCTAGGATTACAGGCGTGAGCCACCATGTCCAGTCAGGGGCCATCTTTATACAGTAGTTAGCGGAGATTGGATATATAGATGCACAGGAAAATATTAGTTCTCTTCATATGGGAAAAATAAAGAGAGGCAGAAGTCTAGGGGAGGCTTCAGACCAAGAAGAAACAAGATGGGTTGCCTGTGGGTTTGGTGGGTGGGGGGAGCTTCTGGTGGCCTCCTGGGGCTCGATCTCATATGAGGGGGTGAGAGGGGGCTGGAAGAGAACTTGAGTGGGCCAGGGGCAGAGTTGGGTTGCAGAACCCACACAGTCCCAGCGGCCACCCAGGACGTGGCCCAGCTCGAGGCCGGGGCCCAGCCGAGGGCTTGCTTCTCGCTCAGGTGAACAGACCCTCTTGTCTCCTCTCACAGGGTCCCAGAGCGCCCAGCTCCAAGATGAGTCCTGTCCCCTCCAGCCCAGTCTCCTGTGTATTTTAGAAACGGTGGGGAAAAAAGAGGCCCGTGACCCTGCCCTGCTGGCTGCATGAGGTCAGCCTCTGACCTGGGCTTTCCCTAGCCTTAACTCTGGCAAAGAGGAAAGACTTTGGGACCTCCACACCGAGGCAAAAAGGGTTATCACTTGGGGACTTTTTGGGGGGGGCATTAGGGTCTCGTCCTGCCAACCAGGCTGGAGTACAGTGGCAGCATCACGGCTCACTGCAGCCTCCAACTCCTGAGTTCAAGCGATCCTCCCGCCTCAGCCAAAGAGTAGGTGTGGCTACAGGTGTGCACCACCACATCTGGCTAATTTTTAAAATTTTTTTGTAGGGATGAGGTCTCGTTATATGTTGCCCAGCTGGTCTTGAGCTCTTGGGCTCAAGCCGTCCTTCCGCCTCAGCCTCTCAAAGTGCTGGGATTATAGGCACGAGCCCGACTCATTACAAAAAAATTTTTGGAGAGATGGAGTCTCACTATATTGCTGAAGTTGGTCTCAAACCCTTGGCCTCAAGTGATCCTCCTGTCTCAGCCTCCCGAGTAGCTGAGACTGTAGGTGCATGCCACGTTGCCAGGCTAACATCCCTTCTTTCTGACATCGGTGTGTTTCTGGAAGCAGCTCCTGTCTCATTTCCCAAGCACCACCTGGGCTGATCTGCTGTTGCAAATTAGACACACAGGAAAATATTTGTTCTCTTCATATGAGAAAAATAATGAGAGGCAGAGTCCAGGGGAGGCTCTGGACCCAGAAGGCACAAGGCGGGCTGCGTGTGGGCTTGGCAAGTGGGGGAGCTTCTGGTGACCTCCCGGGGCTTGCAACTGGAGAGTCACATGACCAAAAGTTGTCAGGCTCACATTTAAAACACACACAATCTGTTTATACAATATATTTATGAAATACTGTTTGGAATGAGCTCATTTGCTGACTTCATGGCTGTTTTGTGTGGGGGGAGGGGAGGGAGGGAGGGAGAGAAGGAGGGGAAAGGGGGAGGCGAGACAGACGCATGTGCAGTAAGCCAAGTGCCGGCACCCCCCCGGCAGGGCTTCAGATGCTCGCTTACCTCGGTGAGTCGGATGTCCGCAGGGATCCGGTCTCCAATCGACAGGGACACGACGTCGCCAGGAACCAGCTCCCGTGCCAGCAGGTGCTGGAGCTTGCCGTCTCTTAGGCTGCATTTGATGTGGTAGAAAGCCAAGCACCGGTGGGACAACATGCTTACGCCCTGGATACATTTGCACCAGGAGGATGGAGTGTGCCCTCTCGTTCAATGATGGACACGCCTGTGCCCTGGTGTTTTATTATTTGTCAAATTCGTGTGTCCTGAAAGGCTTTTGGGAAAGCGTGTGGTTTCTGGGCAACCCCGGGCTTCTTCTGAAAAGTGGGGCAACCACCCTGCGCCCTGCCTGGAGACAAGCCGTGCCGCACTGCCTGGAAGCTTCTACGGGTCTAGGTATCCGTTTTCCCTTGAAATACACACCTTAGCACCTGGGCAAATGATGGGGACCTCCTTAGGGCTAACAGGGACATGACACCAGGCTGGAGGGCAGTGGCACAATCTTGGCTCACTGCAAGCTCGACTTCCTGGGCTCAGGTGATCCTTCCATCTTGGTCTCCCAAGTAGCTGGGAGTACAGGTACTACCGCTCCCAGCTAATTTTTAATTCTTTTGTAGAGACAAAGCCTCATTATGTTTCCCAGGCTGGTCTCCTGGGCTCAAGCAATCCTCCCAGCTTGGCCTCCCACAGTGCTGGGTCTCCAGGCATGAGCCACCATGCCAGGCCAAGCTTTGATATTTAGACTTAAGATCAGATCATCAAGCCACACAAATCCTTGATGCCTCCATTTGCCAATGTGATCACGTCACACATGTGGATGTGGCTTCCTGCCGGCCTAGTCCATCCAACCAGCGAGCCCAGTCGTCTCCACTGCTCCCAGAGACCCTTCTGGGAATCAACTGGTCCTCCCTCCTGTGAGCTGATCTGTTACCATCCTCTTTTTGGGTGCTGTTTTATCGTTCGTTATTCACTGCCTTGCATCATACTCTCACACACACACCCGTGGGTGCTGACTCCTTGAGGGGTTGGAGACGCCTCTCTAGAGCTTTCTGTCTCAGCTCCCTGGGGCTCAGCTGTACAACATGTGCCCAAATAGAAGGGGGACCCCCCCAAGAAAACCCGGAATCATCTTGTAGAGGGCGGGACCCTCCTCGTTCAGGCTTCCCCCGCCAGGTAAGAGTTCTAGGAAACCATTGACTCCGTGTACCAACCAGCGCTGTTGTAAGAGGCTGCATTTGGCTTCGGTGAATTTTTTTTTTTGGAGATGCTTTCGACACATTTGCCCATTTCATGATGGTAATTTACGAGGGCACCTGCTCACACCGTGCTGAGTGTTCAGTGGTTTTTGATCAAACTTGGGACGACTCTCCCAGGCCCCCCTCTCCCTGTTCACCCGATCTTGCCCTGAATGACTTTTCTTTGCTTCCCCGGATGAAAAGAGTCCTTAAAAGGAAACATTTTGCCGATGTGGAAGAGGAGAAACAAAAAACAGCAGAAGCACAAAAGGTGTCAAAATCGACACGTTCAAAACCATTCTGAGCAGTGGAAAAAGCATCTCGACAGGTGGATTGCATCCAACAGAGACAACTTTGAAGGTGACGGAAGTCTAAACATGTGAGAATAAACACACACTTTTTCATAAATGAATTCTGGGTTTTTTGGGTCCCCTTGGCATATGCCCGCATATCTACTCAGCCTCTCCCCAAATTATCTTTCAGGCGCGAGAGGGCAGCGTGTTCGAGTCCTTCCCAGGTACCTCGGGTCACGAGACACTCTCTGACCTCAAGCATCCACGTACATTCGGGAAGGATGGATCAGCCTGAACTGACCTCAGCCCGGATCACCAGGGGCGAGTGGGAGGACTCGGACCTTTTTGGAAGTCATTTCATTTTTACGAGAAGCTCATGGGATACTAAAGATTAAATTTAGGAGAAGCCGTTTTCCCTGCTGGGGCCACTGGCTTCCACGCCCAGTGGCCGCCGTCCCTAAAACAAAGGCCCGCAAAGACCCTGACCCCGAGCCATCCCGGCAGCCCCAGGCCCATGTGCGTGTGTGAGTGAAAACAGATTCAAGTGAAATAACAGGAAGAATCCAGGCCCCCAGCTGCCCTGGCACCATCTGAAGCCCCCTAGGTACACGTGACTAGTGCTGCCCTTCTGGACGGGATAGGTGATCGACCATCTCTAGCAAGTTCTCTCGCCCAGGACTGCCCTAAACAGAAACGCCCATGCAGGAGGGCAGACCCCTTCGCCTTTTCTTTTGCCTTTCGAAGCATCTTTGGTGAGACCGTGCCACCATCAACAGCACAGGGGAAGCATCCGGACAGGAAAGAGACCGCCAGGCTGTGGAACCAACCCCCGGGCTGGCTCTCTGGCCGTGCCCCACTCGCGGCCAGCGTTCTGGAGCGTCAGTGTGTTAAAGCCCTGGGTCTGTCCTCTCCTGAGCCTACCGCTTTGAAGAACCCCCCAAAAACCTCTGAGCCCTCTCCCCAGAAAAAATGCACACACAGTTCTGCATGTGATTTCACAGGCTCCACGGGTTCTCCTCTTCCCCAAGCCACTTCCACCCTCTGTGGTCCCCAGGCACCCTGATCTAGACGCTGGCGATTGAATTGAGGCCCAGAGAGGCTGCGTGACACGCCCAAGGACACACAGCACTCTGAGGGCTGGCAGAGACCAGGTCTCCTAACACCCAGGAAGGTGTGGTTCTCCTGTGCTACACAACAAAAGCGACACCTTCTGCCAAACTCCCCAGCCCACCGGCTCCTCCCGTGTCCCTGGGAGGCTCTGACTTACCAGTTACATTCAGGGGGAACCAGCTTGGTCAGCTCTTCCAGAGATTTCTCTGACCTGTACTCCTGGCAGGAAGCACATCAGACGAGCTGTTCAAAGGTGGGATCCCCCACAAGGCCCCCACCCTGCCCGGTTCCCCTGACCGGGGCCTCGGAAACACTTACCTGGGTGAAGGCCACAGTGACCACCAGGAACACAGCCTGGGGAGCAAACAGGGGGCCCGTCAGCCCCAGAGGCTCTTGGTGAGGAGGCCAGGGGCATGGTGGGTGGGGACGGGGCATTTGAGTAGGGATTTCACTCTGTTGCCCAGGCTGGAGGGCAGTGGTACCCTCACGGCTCACCACAGCCTTGACCTTCTGGGCACAGGCAATTCTCCTGCCTCAGTCTCCCAGGTAGTTTCATCATGCCCATGTAATTTAAAAAATTTTTTTTTGAAGAGACAAGGTCTTGCCGGGCTTGGTGGCTCAGCCTGTAATCCTGCGCTTTGGGAGGCTGAGGTGAGTGGATTGCCTGAGCCCGCGGGTTTGAGACCCGCCTGGGCAGCGAGACCTCATCTCTACAATAAATCAAAAAATCAGCCGGGCATGGTAGCTCGCGCCTGTAATTCCGGCTACTTGGAAGGCTGAGGCGGAAGGATTGGCGGAGCTCAGCAGGTCGAGGCTGCGGTGGCCGGGAGCGGCCACTGTACTCCAGTCTGGGTGACAGAGTGAGACTCCAACTCAAAAAAAAGAGACAAGGTCCTGCCAATTTTCCTATTTTTTGTAGCAGCAGGAGTCTCGCTATGTTGCCTAGGCTGGTTTTGAACTTCTGGCCTTAAACAATCCTCCTGCCTTGGCCTCCCAAAGTGCTGGGATAATGGGTGTGAGCCACTGCGACTGACACCAATTTTATAATTATGTGAATTTCACCTAAATTAAAAAAAATTTTTTTAAAGTACTCTGTAGTATCTCTGAGTAAGGGATCAGGGCGATCACTCTTCGGAACAGCAATGTGCACAGCTGGGGGCGTCGCCACCACCCAGGGTTACAGGAAGGCATTCGCTGCAACGCAGCTCCAACAGCCCAGGACGGAAGCGCCTACATGTCCCCCAGAGCTGGACACGTGGGGACAGCTCGACTCTGGGGCCAAGGAGGCGGGTGCCAAAGGAATCGGGCTGAGGAGGCCGTGGATGCGCTGCCTTCCTTTCTGCTCTGTTTCTGTGCTCCTCCCCCCTGACTCTCTTTGCCTCCCGTGACACCAGCAGGCAGAGGCTCTGGCCGCACGAGGCCCGTGGGCGACTCACCAGGGCGATGCTGACCGCGTCCTCGTACTCCCCGGTGAGGACGCTCACCAGCGCGGAGCCCAGCAGCAGCAGGATCAAGGGACTCCTGAACTGGAGGGCAAACACGGGGTGGCGCTCAGTCCCCGAGGCCAGGGGGCTGCTCGCCGCAGAGAAGCGGGGGCGCCTGCGTCCTCAGCTCGTGGCCAGATGGCCAGGTCAACAGGACGGGTCCAAGGGCTGGGAACCCCCCCCACAACGGCCCTCCTCTGCCAGAGACTCCACCGCCGATGGCCATGCGGGGGTCACCCTGACCCTGGCTCTCCCAGACACCGGCCTTGGCCCTGCGAATGAGTTCCTGGTCTCGTCCAGCCACGTGTCCACGGCACTCCTGGCGGGCCCTCGGGTGAGATGCCAGCCCCAGTGCCACCCGACCACGGATCCCCTCCCACACACCAGCTCCCCAAATCCTGGGCCTCCCAGTCGCTCAGACTTGGTCCCAACCGACCCCTGCAACAGCCTCTGGGGACTCCAGGGTTGTCCCTCTTGAGAACAGGTGTTCCAAAACACTCCCAAGAGCATGTTTATTTTATTGTTTTATGCATCTGCCCCTTCATTTCACAGAGACATTTCAGGGTAGCTCATGTCATAGAGAATTGGAAGGAAACACAAAGGCATAAAAACAGGACCAGAGAGAGAAGACCAAAGACCAGGACCAGGGAGAGAGTTAAAAGAGCAACGAGCAAGTCATGCAAGTCATGGTTATCTTAAACAGGGTCACATGCTGGGATCTGAGCTTCCTGGTAGCCAAAGCAAGAAGGGGAATGTGATCAAATATGTCATTCAAGCTGCTCAAAAAAAGAAGTGCATCAGTGCCAAGCTGCTGTGAGGCGTGAAGGGACTGAACACATACCCATCTCCCCTGGAATCGCCAGGTTTTCTCCTCTGAATGAGGGACAGGCTCCTTTTTGATCAGCCCACCAGCAGCCCTGAGTGTGCCACAGCGACTGTTTGAGCAGCCCCAAGACATTTTGCCCTTTGAGCTATGGTTCCTCCAGTTGTCTGTCTCCATTGGCTGCTAGAACATAACCTTCCCAAGGACACGGACCACATCCGTCCTGGTGTTCCCAGTCCGCTCAGGACCTAGGCCTGGGTCTGGCCATGTGGCGTGGTGGACAAGAGACCAGGGATCCGACAGAGTTCCAGCTCAGTGTCCCCTGGGGTCTCATCAAACACCTCCAGCAAAGACCCTGCCTTCTCCAAGACTCAGCTCTCTCCTGGCTTCAGTGAGGACTCAGTGTGCTAATGAGAGTCACATGTCCTGCTCAGGGGCCGGCACACAGTAGGAGCTCAATAAATGATCAGCACTCACTGAGCCCTGGTTGAAGGAAGGAGCTGTGGCCATTCAACTTCTAGAAATGGCCCTGCCTCAGGGCTCTTGGTCCAGCCACTGGCCCTCAGGAAGTCCTCCCATCCATCCTCGCCAGGGCCGGGCCGGCAAGGACGGGGAGTCCTCACACCTTCAGGAAGACCCCACAGCCAGCCCACCTGAGCCCCCACACCAGGGTCCGAGGCATGTGGGGGAGGGGCGGACAACCAGACCGGCCTCTGGAAGAGCTTCTCACAAAAACAAGAGGCCCATGCCAGCGCCCTCAAGACACCCACATTCAATCAGGCCACAGGCTTCTCCCTAGAGTGATTCTTCAATATGCAGACAAACCGTCCACTTATTTTGTAGACTGTAAGCTGTTCCATGGGCCGGAAATCACAGGTTAGAAAGACGTTGGAATGAAACCGGCTGGGGGCAGTGGCGCACACCTGTAATCTTAGCCTCTTGGGAGGCCAAGGCAGAATCATTGCTTGAACCCAGAAGTTTGAGAACAACCTGGGCAACACAGCAAGACCTCGTCTCTACAAAAAAATCAAAAAATTCGTGGTGGCATGTGTCTGTAGTCTCTGCTACTTGGGAGGCTGAGGCAGGAGGATCGCCTGAGCCCAGGAGACTGAGGCTACGGTGAGCGGTAATCATGCCACTGCACTCCAGCCTGGACAACAGAGTGAGATCCTGACTCAATTAAAAAAAGAGGACAAAAAAAGAAAAAAGGAAGAAACATTTAAGGGGCACGGCATCCACAAGCTGTGGGCGGGCTCTGCTTAGACCCTCATTCTAACAAGCCATGTAGAGGCCTCTTTCTGAGGCATGTGAGGAAAAAGGACTATGGTATATGATATCAGTGAAGTGTTCAATTCCTCCCCCCCTTTTTTTGAGTTGGGGTCTCCCTCTGTCGCCCAGATAACAGTTCACTGCAGCCTCGACCTCTAGGGCTCTGGTGATCCTCCCGCCTCAGACTCCCAAGTAGCCGAGACTATAGGTGGATGTGACCATGTCCGGCTCATTTTTTTTTTTTTTGTAGAGACGAGGACTTGCTATGAACTTCAAGGTTGACCTTGAACTTCTGGATTCAAGCTATCCTCCTGCCTCAGCCTCCCAAAGAGCTGGATGACAGGTGTGACCCACCACGCCTGGCCTGAAGTGTTCAACTCTTACGGTACAGAAAAAGAAAAATGCACTGTAGCAGTAGAGATGTATACTGACATACAATGAGTAAAACGATTCCGTGTCTAGGATTTTTTTGAAAATGCTGCAGAGGCCATAAACAAGAGCAAAGTCAAGCTGGGCACGGTGGCTCACACTTGTAATCCCAGCACTTTGGGAGGCTGAGGCGAGAGGATTGCCTGAGCCCAGGGGTTCGAGCCTGGGCAACTTGGCGAGAACTCTTCTCTACAACAAATCAAAAAGTAAGCCGAACATGGTGGCGCGTGTCTGTAGTTCCAGCTACTTGGAAAGCTGAGCAGAAGGATCTTTTGAACCCAGCAGGTGGAGGCTGTGGTGGCTGGGGGGCGTGCCACTGCACTCCAGACTGGGCGACAGAGTGAGACTCTGACTCAAAAAAAAAAGCAAAGTCTTGTCTTTTGTAGCAATATGGGTGTAGTTCCCCTCATCACATTGTAGGCCGTGCTTTATTTGTACTCAGTCACCTGAATTTGGACGCCTGGGGCCGCTCGACTATGGACAGACACTGGAACCCGGAAGAAACTATTAAGCCGATGGTTAAATGGAAAGATCTCCTCACAGGTCAACGGAGAGGGCCCGATGTGTTGTCAACTTGTGGGAGAGGCTATGCATGTATCTTTCCCCAGAATTCTTCACCGCCCATTTGGATACCGGATCGCCTTATTCGATATGTCCAATCCGACGCCTCAGCCAGTGCAGAGGAATCCAAGGCAGAGAGATGTCAGGCGGGAACCCAGTCCAGACCAGAACAACTCAGAACCGGAGGGGGAGAGAATCCTAATCCCGAGAATGAGGCGTCTTACTCTTCGTCATAGCCGTCCACCACGAATCCAGATGCACCGTATTCTGCGACCTCCCCGTTCTCGCTCTGCTTCCAGTTCTAGGTCCAGACCCCTACCTCCCCGGCCAAGGCGGTATGCTTCTTCCACCAGAGGTCAAGGTCCTCCCACATGGGGGCAGCTGAAAGCCCTGTGTCTTGAAGTAGAGAGGCTGGTTCGTTCACAAAGTGTTCCTTTTACTCCATCCACTGTTTTTGTTGCTATGATGGCCATTCTCACCTTTCAGGTCAGTCATATTAATGCTGGTGATGGTGCAAGCAGAACCTATTGGGCTTATATGCCTAACTCTCCAGTTTTTCAGCCTGTTACTTGGGATAATGAAATAATAACAATTTTTACTGACACTGCTTCTTTGGTAGGTGGCCCCACTCTTTTCTCCTCCCAAGTTAAAACTGTTATTAATCATAATTTTTCCTTCTTGGGGAGTTCCAGTTCACCCCCAATTTGTTTTAGTTTACCTAACGGTTCAGAACGCTCTCCTCTCATACCAAAATGTTTGCCTTCTCGTGTTAAGGGAATGATAACTGACAGCCCCTCTGGTCAAAAGGGGACTCGAAACATCTGGTCCCTTATCCTATTAATGCTTGGAGATTTTGAACCCAATACAAAAATAGAGGAGCAACACTCCTCTGAATTTCCTACTTGCACAGCTCACGGGGAACGTCAAACTTCAAATACCGAAAATGATTGGCTCACGGTGCACCCTGAATTTGGATTCCCTCCTTGGAAAGAATGTATGTATTCCTCCAAGGTGACTCTCCCTGTTTCTAATACTAATGTGTCCATAAGTGACTGGAGTTGTCATGATCCGACTACAGATCTCCGCCCTTATGTGGAACACAGTCCTAATTTCTTGTGGAAGAACTCCATACCTAAACCTATACCCATTACTAGATGGAATATTAATGGATGGGTCCCCCCAATATTAGTAATGAATGATGGTAATAAACAATCCATACAACCTAATATTTGGAGAGCCTTAGCTGCTACTAAACCCATAGTTTTACATCGTCCACAGGGACAAACTATATATAATATAAGAGCTTGTTTGCAATCTCCTTATGCCTTTTTAGTAACCACTGATTATAAATCTTTAGTAATTTCTTTTGATGGGCAGAAATACCAAATTTCTTGTAAAAACTGCAAATTAACTAATTGTCTTCCTTTCTCTAATTCATATAAAGGATTTATTATTCTCCGCCGACCTCCTTATTTGATGGTTCCTGTAAAGCTTCCATCTCTTTGGTATGATGAATATAGTCTAAAAACATTGTATGAGCTTAACTCACTGTTGTCACTACCAAAGAGATTTATAGCAACTTTAATTTTAGGAATTACAGCTTTGATAGCCATTGCTACTTTAGTCTCAGTTTCAGCCATAACTTTAGCTAAAGAAGTACATACTGCTACATTTACAGACCAGTTATCCAAAAATGTCTCATTAGCTTTAGCAGCTCAAGAGATTATCGACCAAAAATTAGAAAGTAAAGTTAATGCATTAGAAGAAGCTATTTTGATTATAGGACAGGAACTTGTAGCCTTGAAAATTAAATTGGCTTTGAGATGTCATTCAGAGTTTAAATGGATTTGTGTCACACGTCTCCAAGTGAACAAGTCTATTCATACCTGGGATAGGATTAAAAATCATATCTCCGGAATTTGGAACCATTCCAACATAAGTTTGGATCTCTCGAAGCTTC